AACCACATACTAAGGAAGGCTACGCTTGTATTTGTGCACACCTCTGACTGCTCCAGTGCAAGGTGCTGGGGTCTGGTCCTTTTCCAACAGACACTCCTGTCCTTTTCTTTGTCCTAATTTCAATCCAGCTAAATCTGTTGGTTCCAAGAGCTGTCAGTCCAACCACACACTCCTCAGAATATCATTAGCCTTGTTCTCTCTGTCTGCCCTGGAAATGGGGAGGGACAATCCACTGACCATCACCCCTTCTCAGCTCCTGACCACACAGCAGCCACAAAGAAGCTAAGCCTTAGGTGTTTTTGCGCAGATATCAGCTGGATGGGTCGTTTCTTCCTAACGAGATCTCTAATGAAATCTCAGTTTCCAAAAGACAAAGAGTAATGGTTTGTGGAGGGCCTTTAGCCCTTAGACCAGGCTCTGACTGCTGTAGGATTCAGCCCCAAAGGATGCAGAGGCAGCCCACAGAGAACTAGCAGAGCAGAAGGAAGTACTGCTGAGAATCTCTGCAAGTCACCCCCAAGCCTCAGGCCTCCCCAGGTGTGGGGCTGGGAGGCAGGTCTTCCTAATTCTGGAACTGGGTTCCTGCTACCAGCCAGTTCCAACAAACTGCTCACTGTGACGAGTTCTGCCGGTGGGGATTCAGATCCGCTTTCGCCTGGTTCCGCTGTCACGTGTCCGCCCCCAACCTCACACTGGTGCTTTTAATCTGCAGCAGTTCCATCTGCTCCTCCAGACCCTCCCCTGCCCTCCGGCTGCCGCACACACATATGTGTGCGTGCCCACACAGTTTATCTCCTGAAACGGAGAGATGAGTTTTTCATATGGATATGCGTGAGCCAAGGTGCGGTGCAGATTTAGGCTGGATCACAGGCAGGGTAAGGGAGTGAGGGCTATGGTGTGTATGACAAGAAAAATGACGCTTTCGCCCATGCTGGCTTAATTTGAGTCAGGGTTCATCTCTCCAGGTTCCGCTTAGTCGGAATCTATCTGATTTGCCTCCAACAAGCCACTAACCCGCGATGTCTAGCTTATTCCCTCTTGTCTTACAGCAAAGAAGCTCTGACTCAGAAGGGCCAGGTGAGGAATCTTTAGTATCTATCCCCTAGTTGGACAATGGCCCAATCAAAGAAGCGTGGGACAAAAGGCCAGGAGACCTTTTGGCAGCCCTCCCATGATCAGAGTGCAGATGCAAAGTTTCTCTCAACCCACTGTGATCTCAGAGCCTTGCGCTGAGTTGGCTTGACTCCTTCGATGCCTTGCTCATAAAAAGTGATGCTGTTGGGAATAGGACAGGGTTGCCATGAGGATTAATTATGGTGATTCCTATAAAGCTCCCCACACCGTGCTTGGCAAACAACAGGCTTTGAAGAACAGGGTCGACTTTGTTACACTGATGCAACCACTCCACAGATGTCCCTCCTGGGACATCCCTGCAGGCTCTTCTCAGGGATCATGAAACATGTGAATTTTCATCAGCATATAAGTAAAAGCTGCAACTCAGAAGGTTTAGGTCAAATATAAACATGCACATCCATTATTATCCCTCAAATTATTTTTCCTTATAAAGCTAATAAAGTCTGATGTGGCTTTTGTACGTAAACCATCCATTGTAGCCTTATTGAACCTTAAAATAAAGGTAGTCTTAGGGTCATGTTCTGGTTCCCACCTCTATTTCCGCCCTAAGTTTCATACTTTTGGGGTTCACTGCAATGTTCCAGCACTTCAGAGAAGCCTGGGCATTGTTGGTTGAGTGACAGCTGCCCCCCTGTGCCCCTCTCCTCCTGTTTTCCCATTGTTTGCTTGGATACACTCACTCCCTCACCTTCCGCATCTGCTGTCCTCTGCTCTTTTCCAAAAGACAGTCTACTTTCTTCTCTAAATTCCGCATGCACACAGGTGCACGCGTGCACTCCCCCCCACACACACACACACAGCTCCAGCATATCAACAGACATCTTTTGTTAAAATACTAAGTTGTAGGTTCTCTTTAATGAAGAGGGGACTAAAACTGGCCCCTCCTTACAGATGGAGGAACTAAGGCACTCAAAGGTTGAACAACTGGTTCAAGCTGCTTCTCATCCCTTCCCCCCTCCCTTCCTCCCTCTTTCCCTCCCTCCCTCCCTCATCCCTCTACTTCACATGAAGTCCTCTCCAGCTCACATTCCCCATCTTCTCTCTTAATTTCTGCAGTGTAATGGACTTTGAAATATCCCTTGTTATGAAGCTCATTATTTTGGTTTTGTTGTTGTTTGTTTGCTTCCTAAATAGAATTAAATTCATTAAGGTGGCTAGAATTTTTCTTATGGGAAATCCCGGGGCCCAGACAAAGAGAACTGGACACAGACTGGAGGAGCATAATAACCTTACTGTAGGGACCTGAGGGCAGGGCATGGCTCTGCCATTCAACCTGCTCACAAGATCAATTGCATGAACCATCAGTACTGAGAGAGGCTTCCTCTCTATCCTGGCATTGTCTCCTTTGGCTCCCAAAAGCCATAATCAGATACCACTGGTGATTGCATTCCTCATATGTATGTGGTTGATACCGGATTATCCTTCAAAAGGCCTGGCATGGGTGCCTTTTTTTTGTTGTTTGTGAGCAATGGGAGGCCTAAGGCCTGGAGTCTGGAGCCAAACCCCAGCCCAGCAGTCTCTGTTTGCTCCGAGTAATGACATCCTCACACAGATACCTACTTTCAAATTCTTCAAAGGCCTTTCGTCTCAATGAGTGCACTTCATTGGTGCAACATCCCTACCAGGCAGGTGCCATTGTTCCCGCCTGAAGCTGAAAACCTAGAGAGGCAATGTCTTGTCCAGAATTTCCTGAGGAAATATGACAGTACCACAACCAGCACCCAGTCCTCCCTTGAGCATCTCCACCTACTTCCTGGGCCTGTGTCTAGCATGAACGGGAATAAAACTTTAACTCCTTTAATGACTTATCAGAAAGCCTTGCTAATCCATCAACAGTCTGTTAGATAACAGCCTCAGTCCTTGCACGGTGAAGGATTACCTTCCCATCTGATCAGCCGCACACGTGGGGTGGTTGCCAATGTATAGAATCCATTTTCATCTTCAAAAAGATGGAGATTTCCATTTCAGTGTCTGATTTCCAGACACTGCCTTCCTTCCTCAGACGGACAGGAGCCTGATGTCTGTGTGGCTATCAACAGCAGCTTAGCCGGTTATTGAAATGATTGCATATCCCTGGAATTTCCCTCCTTCCCTTCCTCAGTAAACATTATTAGACACTTGCTATGTGCTCTGCACTGTGCTCTGCCATCCAACACGACTTTGGGTAAAATGGGTGCTATTCTTTCATCTGCTTCTACTGTAACTGTGTGTGTGTGTGTGTGTGCGTGTGTGTGCCTGATATGCTGCATGTTCATGTATGTGCATGTGTGTCGGTGTACATGCACATGTATGTTTGCATGGGGAGACCAGAGTTTAAGGGTATCTGCCTCAATTGCTCTCCACTTTATTTATTTCTATATTTTATATAGTTATTTATTTTTACTGTATGAATATTTTGCCTGCATTATGTCTGTTTGCCACATGTGTCTGGTCCCTGTGGAGGTCAGAAGAGGCCATCAAACACCCTGGAGCAGGAGTAACAGGCAGCTATTAGCCACTGTGTGGGCGCTGAGAATTGAACCCAGGTCCTCTGCAAGAGCAGTAGGTGTGTTTAACTGCCAAGCCATCTCTTTAGCCACCCCCGTTTTTTGAGACAGGGCTCTCACTAAACATGAAGTTCAGTGTTGAATCACTTGATTAATAAATCAAGACTGCTTGGCCAGTGCATTCCAGTGATCCGCCTGTTTCTACCTTCCCGGCACTGAGATTACAGGCATGCACCACTGTGTCCTGCTTTTTATATGGGTGCTGAGGATCTGAACTCAAGTCTTCATGCTGGCACGGTAAGCGCTCTGTTGGCTGGGGCCTCTCCCCAGCCCTTCCATTGCAATCAGAACAGGATATCATCAAGTCATAAAACAGAGTATATGCAAAGGAAACTCCTCTTGATGCTGGCAAGGTCTCGGCCCCTGGTTCATGCACCCCATGCCAGATGTTACAGAAGCATACCATGACGGGAGAAGGAAGGATTAGCCCTTCATCGTGCAGGCATCGAGAGGGTGCTTGGGCCCTTCAAGCTAACGAAAGTTTGTGACTTTGGCCTCTCTGCTATCATGTCACCTCCTCCACGGCTCAAGGAATGCTGTGGGAGGGTGGGCAGAAAGTGCGTGAGACCCAGCAGATGAGGAAGAACGTGTGTGAAACTCTGTTTTCTGGATGTGCTCTGGATGCTGCCATCATGAACACGCATGGTGGCTGCCTGGAGAGGAGCTGCACAAAATACACAAATGAGAGCAGAAAGAAGACTGAGATGAAGAGGGTCAGGGGTTGGGTAATAAGAGGGTAATGGAGAAGGATTGATGGGATCAAGACGCATAGTATATGTATATAAAACTGTCAAAAATGTTCTAACTTTGAAAGCGGTGGAGGCCAGTGAACAACACTATGAACCATTGAGTTATATGATAGACAAATTGTATGCTCTGTGAATTATTAGGCAATTGTTTCAAATAGAAAGAGATGGGACTTAGCAGGAGATTGCTGGGTTATTAGAGACATCCCTTTGAAGGAACTAGTATAGTCCCTGCTGGTGGGGCCCCAGCATCTCTATCCCCCTGTCTTGCAATCTGTGAGCCAAGCTGATCTAAGCACTATGATTTTGAACGTCCAGAATTGTGCACTAAATAACATTATTAACCTGTATTAATTGTACAAAATAATGAGTCTCATAATGAGATTTTCATATGTGTGTGTGTGTGTCATGCTTTGATGATATGCCATCCACCTTACCCACTCTGTTTTCACTTTTTACCCATCCCCCTCTCCTTCTCAAAAGGTCCCCCTTAACATTCAAGTCTTTTTTAAACCTGGAGCTACATATGAGAAAGAACATGTGATATTTGTATTTCATAGTCTAGATATATGATGTTTCCCAGGTCCATTCATTTTGCAGCAAGATGCATAGTTTTATTTTTAATGACTGAATAAACTCCATTGTATATACTGTCTTCACCCATTCATTTGTTAATGATTCCATTAAAAATTCTCCCTGTCCTCCTCCTCCTTCTTCTCCTTCTTTCCTCCTCCTCCTCCCCTGCCCCTTGTTCCTCCTCCTTCTTCTCGTGGTAGTGGAATTGAGGACACCAATGGTGGCTTGTGCACGACAGGCAAGACTACACGCTCAGTTCTTAAAGAATCCTTTTCTAGAAAAGACACTTAGCCTCAGATATTTTGTTATAGTAATGGAAAAATCAACTAAGATAGACAAGTGGTAATTGTATGAAGAGAATTTAACCCATCCTATTTAGCCATTTAGGTGAAAGGGGGCCATTTTGAACAGTCATGAATAACTTCTAAGAAGATCTGATCTCCTCTTGCCCTTCCGTGTTTATCTAGGAGACTTTCACCATTAAATCATGTGGGTTTAGTCTTGTGGTCCTGATTGCAGTACATATCTAGCCTCCAGATCACTAAAACAGTAACAAAGAAACGAGTGTTTCTCCTTCCCTTTGCCTCTTAGAACTAATGGAATCATACAAAATTCAGGTCATGGACTGAAGTAGGAATGGCTTTGAAACACGGACATTTCAAATAAAGGGGCTGCTGCTGTTATCACTGGCAGCACTGAGAACAGAAAATCCTCTCTGCAGAGGCGGTGGCAAATATTCTGCAGTGGGCGGCTAGAAAAACTGGCCCCCAGTAGGCTGCTTCAAGAGAAGCTTTGGGCCCAACATAAACCAAACAACAGGGACCCCAGTTCAATCCAAACAAGCTCTGGATACACAGCCAGACTATTGCTTTGGGCCTGGGCCTTTGGTTTGCTATTTATTACCTTGGAGACTTAACCAATGGGTTGTTTGATTCTCCAGTTGCAGAAGAAATCTCCCCCCTTTCTGGTAACAACGCCATGTTTTTTCTGGGGAACCATGCCTCTTCTATGCTGCTGACTAGGTCATTTTTCTGTTGCTATACCACAATACCACAGACTAAATCATTTATGAAGGATAATGGCTTATTTCTGTTCATGTCCTAGAGGCTAGATTGTACTGATGCATCTACTCAGGGCCTTATACTGAGTCATAACATGGCTGGGATGTGAAAAAGCAAGCAGTCACATTGAAGAGACAGACATGGCAACTGTCAGGGTTTGAACGTAAAATGTCCCCTCCTGGCTTAAGGACTTGATTGCTTGATTCCCAGCTGAGGTGCTGTTTGGAGAGGTCTGGATCTTTTGGTTATGTGGTCTAGCTAGGCTAGTAGACGTGGTTCACTCAAGGGTAGGCCCTGAAGGTTGGATTCACTTCTGATTTGGGAACTCCCCCCAGGATTTCTAGTCTGTACTTTCTGTGAGGAGCCATAGCTCCTGCAGCCACGGATGGGCTCCACCATGCCTTTTCTACTAGGAGACATTGGAATTCCCTGGAGCCGGGAGGCAAAACAAGCCTCCCCTGCTTTAGGTTGCTTCCCTCAAGTGTTTCAATCACAGGGATGAGAGAAGAATCTGCCACAGAAAACAGCTGGTGCTTCAAGCTCATTCCCCTGTAACTTACCAGTCGCTATAGAACAAGCACTCACTCATGCAAGAGTTTGCTACGTTCCATGAGTAGTGTTAATCCCTCTTAACAGCTTGATCTCCTATTAATGCTCACCTTGCCCCCACTGCCCAATACTCAATATGCGATTCAGAGGGGGATAAACCATAGCATCTCGTCCCCAGACACTCCTTTTCACAGGGATAAACCCTGTGATTCCATCCAGACAATTCACAGAGTCTTAGCTTGGCAGCCTGGAGTCTAACTGTGAGCCAATCAAAGCAACTCCCTTCTAAAGTTCAATGACAGGGACCTGGAGAGATGGTTCAGTGGTTAAGAGCCCTTGCTGTTCTTGAAGAGAACCAGTTTGGTTCCCAGCACTCATGTCAAGCAACTCACAACTGCCTGTAACTCTACATCCAGAAAATTGGATGCCCTCGTATGGCCTCTGTTTTCACCTGCACACATATGTACATGTACACACCTACACATGCATACACATAAATATTAAAAAAATAACCTTCAGTAGCAAAACAGGTTTAGAGTAAGTATTCCTAATGCAAAGGACTTGAGACACAGACTTGAAGAAAGGGAGGAATATCAGTTCCCCCAAGCAAGTCCGAAACCCAAGACAGCAAACATTAAATCTTAAACCTGGAAGACAACCTTCCACTTCAAAGGCCTCCTCTTTAGATACACTAAGTGGTTTGGACCCCCAGAGATAGCACGGATCCTATGGTTTTTCTGGACTTTCTCCTTTCCGATTGAACTCTGATGATTGCCGCTCTCCAAAGCAGGTTTTAAGTTCTGACGGCTGTATACTTTGGAGGTCACAACAGGACTCTGGTCACTGTGGCTCAACCACAGATGAGCCTGGGGACTCTGCAGCAATTTGAACTCCACATTTCTTTTCAGCGTGGTCCTCTTAGGAGTTCATGTCCATTGCTTCATGTCTGTGAATGTGCCCGTTGAGGTCTAGGTGGAGGAAGGCCAGGACTCAATGGATCCTGCATTATTTGCCTGTGGAAACACCACCAAGTGTGTACCACTGAGGCACACAGTTTGTTCTTTGGTTCCTGAGTCACATGCTGTTCCTTGGACTGGGACTGAATAAGCCATGATTAGTTAACCAAAGAAAGTTATGCCAGATTTAGGGAGCAGAGACCCCAGGTGGCCCTGGGCAGTGATCGCATCCTGCACTCAAGGTGCTAAAGACAACCTCAGGGATCTCTGAGATGACTTCAGAGCCCTGCCAAGCCCCTTCCACACACACTGTGCTTCTGACGAGCCACACTTGGCTCCCTTCCTTCTGTGCTAATCTCACAGTTAGAAACCAGTTCCTCGGTGCACATTTGCATGCTTTCCCCGTTTGTGTGGCCAGACTGGATTTTCCAGCTTTCTATGCCCTGCTTTACTTTTAATTATAAGTGCTGCCTCTAGCTCATCGCTTTGTTCTCACAGATCACCCTATGTGGCCCTGAGCAGCACGAATGCTCTTCAGCTTAGGCGTTTTTCTGCCAGATTTCCTCGTTCATTGCTCTTAGTTTGGACCTTGCACAAGATCCTGGGACATAGAGAGAATTCAGTTAAATTCGTTGCCAATGGATAAGAAAAAGTAGCCTTTGCTCTGTGTGTTCTTCCATTTCTGTTTAAGATTTCATTCACGTGTTTTTCCTGGATACAGCTCTGCCAGTGTTTATATAGTTAACATGCTGTAACAAACCACCAGACTGAAGCATTTGTTTGGGCTCCTGATTTAAGGGTAGACGTCGTCATTGCAGAAGGGACCTAACAGCAGGAGTGTGAGGTGGCTGGTCACATTGCATGCCCAGGAGAAGATGAATTCTAAGGTTTAGCTTGCTTCTCCTTTTAATTTAGTCTAGGACCCCAGCCCATGGGGATTGTACCACCACATCCAGGTGGGTCTGGTACCTTGGAAAATGAATCCCATTTTATTCTTGCAGATTTGTAGCAAGTTTGCTGTCATTTCATCAAGTGTAGATTCATGGGGCCACTACCAAGGTCAAGACAGAGAACACTTTCCTCATAAGGCTTTTGCAGCTGCATCCACATTCCTCTCCACCCCACTTTCAACACCCACCACCCTGTTTCCCATCCCTATAACTGTGTCGTTTCAGGACTGTGAATGGGGATATACAATATGTTCACCCTTTAAAACTGGTTTTGAAAGTCATCGTCATTCCCTACAGTTCAGTAAATCGTGCCTGTCAACAGTTGCTGAGAATCACTCCTCCTCAACATACTTAACCTTTGACCTGCTCTGCCATTTCACACACTTTTAGTATTCCATAGGAACAATTCACATCATGTGCAGTTTTTTTTATGTGAATATGGTTTTTATTTCTCTGAGATTTATTTCCCCAGAGGGCAATTGCCAAGTCATTTAGTAATTATACATTTTATCGTCTTGAAGACTGCCTCACTGCCTTGCAGAGTGGCTGGGCCATCCTATATCCCCACCAGCAATGCATATGTGGTCCATTTTCTCATCAGCGTTTGGCCCTGTTATTTATTTAACCATTCTGTTACGTGTGCACTGACATCCCACTGTGGCTTCAATTTTTTTTGTTTTTGTTTTTGTGGCTTCAATTTGCATTTGCTGGTTAGCTAATGACTCTGAGCATCTTCTCATGTCCTTATTTGTCATCTGTGTATCTTCCCCAGGAAAACATGTTTGGGTCTCTTCTCCATTTTCTAACTGGATAACTGCGTGTGATGATTTTTGCCAGTTTGCCATTAACTTTGAAGGTATCTTTATATATACTAGGAACCAGCAGGACATGGTTATCCAGGATTCAGTTCACAAATATTTTCTCCCTCTGTATGATTCATCTTCTCCTCATCTAATGTGGTCCTTCCCAGAGTGCAAATGTTTCATTTTGATGTTAAGTTTCTTGATTTTTTTTTATCTTATGAAACAGCTTGTGGTATTAAGTCTCATGGGTTTTTTTGCCTTACCCTGGGCCAGGAGTATTTTCTTATAGGGCCAGGTGGAGTCATGCATACCTGCAATCCCCTATGCTTGGGAAGCAGAGGTAAGAGGACCAGCCTTGGTTACATGGTGATCTCAAGATCAATCTAGAACTCATAGTAAAACCGTGTCTCAAAAAAAGTGAAAGAAAAAGAATATTTTTCCTACATGTTTTGTGTTTCTATTTCATATTTAAGTCCATGCTCCATTTAGATTTAATGTTTGTATAAGGTATGAGTGAATGGATATTCCTATGGCCAAATAATTCTATTTTACAGATGGGGAAAAAGTCAGAGAGAGCTGAAAAATAAAAATAAGGCCTAATAATTGCTAAAGGAGAAAAAATCCAGCTATTGATGCTATAATTAATCTCCTCTCTTCACCTCCCTTCCCTCCCCTCCCCTTCCCTTTCCTCCTCTCCCCTCCTCTCTCCCCTCCTTTGGGAACATATGACCCAGCTTCCTGAATGCATCCATTCCTTTAAGGTGACTAACCCTGCCCTCAACACACAACTGAGGTGAAGCCTGCCAGAGCTCACCTAGCACACCCTCTGAACCCTCTGCAGCACCTTTGCAGGGTGGAGAATGAAGACAAACAAGGCAACTTATTTGTATGCAAATGACTTGTTATTCTGGTTTGGAGAAAAGCTCTATTGGTTTTTATCAGTGTCCAGATTACTACAGGACTGCTGGGCCACTGAACTGACCCAGGCGGCTTACACTCGTCCTTGACCTTAGTGACCACGCACCTGGGAAGGCTCACTTTCTCCTTCTGAAGCCTCAGGCTCTGGGTTGGCTGGTTTTCTCCACCTTGGCAGGTAGAAGAGGGAGCACTGGTTCACCTGACCATTCTCACCCTTCCTGAAGAGGAGGAAGCAGAGGCAGCAAGCTGGGAGCATGGCCTCAGGAAGGAAGGACTGTATTCAGGAAGCTGGGACAGATGCTCCAGAAGGAGGAGAGAGAGGAGGGGAGAGGAGGAGAAGGAAGGAGAAGGGAGAAGAGAACGACACCAAGTAGCCAGTGGTGGCTTCAGCCAGGTGTTCCAGGCAAGGCCCAGCACTGGAGGACCCAGTATGCCAAGTGCTCCCTGTGCCTCCAGAAGGAAACCACCAGGCAGCTGACAACCCATTTCCACACAGAAGAGACTGAGGTACAACAATCTTTTGGTCTAGGGAGCTCAGAGGAAGGGATGAGCTGGGGTTGAGGTTGGTAACTGTCTAGATGCTTTTAAATGGGCCTTGTGATCCAAATTCCCCAGAGTAGGCTCTTTCTTTGGGCCCCCAATAAGTAGGTAAATAATACCTGCTGTTAGCATCTCAAGAGGTGAATAGGAACCATCTTGCAAAAAATGCCTTGTCTGTCTGGCCTCTTCTTCACCTTGCTCTGCTCCTTCCTCTTAGGTGATAATGAATAAACACACTCTGCCTCATCTTTCTTTCCTAGACAGAACTGAGCTTTTCAAGAAATGTACCACGTTTGCTCAATGACCTGTCAGTTATCACCTTTTCTCTTGCCATGCCAGTCCCGGTAGGCTGGAGAAGATTAGAGAGGATGCCCCCATAGGACATCACCGGGTAGCTAATACCACACTGCTGGTCTTCCAAGGGGGATAAACTGAAGGCAGGATCCACCCAAGCCATTTGCCAGCTGACATCAATCCTGCTGGAAAGTCAAGTGCACAGTCCCGTACATCAGTCTGTTTTGGATCCTGACAGTCATAGTGTGGGTTACAGTCATGCTTTTCTTTTTCTGCCCCTGGCCTCGCTGTGTGTTCCTGCTATGTGCTTCCCCTCACAGCCTGGAAGGAAACGTCTGAGAAGCTAGGTCTGAGTATGAAAACATGCCCTCCCATATAGCCTCTTGGAACATCAACCGGAAACTCAGTGACTCGTACTTAGATGGTGATTGTTACGTTTCTGTGATTTGACAATGCCCCCAGCAGCAGCTTTTGTACTAGCTCTTCTCTGCATAGAGTACTCGGCTTTGGAATAGGGCCAGATGACTCTGAGATTTGTCCATACCGTGTATAGTCTTTGAAATAAAGAACAGGAGGAAAGGTGGTGAGACGGCTTGGCAAAGAAAGGCACTTGCAGCCAAGTTTGATGGCTGAGTGTGATCCCCAGTGCCCAAAGAGTGGGAGGAGAAAACTGACTCCTGAAAGTTGTCCTGTGACTTCCACATGCATACATATGAGTGGTGACACATGCACATTCACACACACATGCAAAGAAACATGTTAAGAAATAGTACAAGGAAGCAGATAGTATTGACCTGCCCATACTGCAACTATGATAAAATCTCCCTGCCCTCCATGTCCCTTTCCAAGTTCTTAAGAGTGGAAAAGAATAATAAAAATATTAATAACTATAACTAGTGTGTGTTATGTATGGATGGCTATATTTGGAGCTTTATGATTATTGCTTTATTAGATTCTAATAGAGGAAGCAATGAGTAGATAAACAAATAGAATTTTTATTTATAGCTCTTAGGACTTCTAGACATCTTTCTTGACTGATAGACCTAAGACTTAAGCAATGGGATCTTCCAAGAGTAGATTTGGTCACCCACATGTTGCAGGGATAAAAAGTGATAGAACTGAGGTAGAGATGCCATTTATTGAGGCTTGTCTCTGAAACACTGTTAAGGCCATCTGAGTTGTCTTTGGAGCAGATGAATGGGCAGGCCACTTGGTTCTGTGAGTGAAGGTATTCTAAGCAGAGGAAACAGCACAAGCCGAGTTCTTGAAGGGGCGACATGCTTGGCATAAGGGTAGAGAAAGGAGGATGGGTTAGGAAGCAATGAGCTCAGGGAGCCATGTCAGGAGTAAAGATGGGGGAGCCCATAAGGACCTTTGTCAGGCTTTGAGAGATCTGTGTCTTCAGCTCTGAGGCAGAAGAAAGCCGTCGGATGGGACTGTTGTGGGGATGAAATCAGGGGTCAAAGAGGAATCTAGGACCTGTCTGAGGCCTGGAGGGTGGAGAGCGCATTGGCTGGGATGCATAAGGCAGTCTTATGGGGAGAGGAAGAGTATTAAGCATCAAATGTCTGATTGACGATGCTAATAATGACCAGAGAAATCGGAACGTGAAGTGGGATGAGCAGAGAGCCTGAAATGACTGCAAGGGCTGAGCATTCTAAATTAGCAAAGGAGATGGAGAAGAGCGGAGTGACTGAAGGAGATACAGGGGAATTGGACAAGGCTAGCATAAGAGCAGAGAGATTTGCACTGCCTGCTGAGGGCTGGGGGCAATGGGAACTGAAGCCAAAGAGACAGAAACTAAGCAAAGATGTGAGGCCCTAAGAATTGTCCAAAGTCACGCACATCTCAAGTGATAGAACTAAGCCTTGAGGTCAGGACAGCGCTTTCTAAAGCAGCCATAATTTGTCCACCTCGAGGCAGAGATTACTCTGGTTTATACTCTGGTACCCAAGAGAACGAGAGAGGATTAAAAACACCCCCAGAGCAGTCTGGAAGATGTCTGGAATAGCAGAAGGGTTAAAGAAGGCTAACCCTGAAATAACCAGCTATTCAGATGCTTGGAGAACAGGAGATGTTCCTAGAGGCCAGACCCTCTGGTTGGTTTCCCAGGGTGACCCTGAGAGCATCTCGTCAGCTGTCAGCAGCATCCCACTGCAGCACCAGCACAGCTTTGCCGATATCTTGCTTTTTCAAGATGCCATTCCTCCTTAACCCCTACCCCTGCAATTCCCAAACAGTCTCTCATGATTTGCATATTTGCAATTCTGTGGGCACACACAGTGAATTGAGAGAGGGGGCCCACGGTATGGTACTTGTTTTACAGGGCTTCCCTTTAAGTCTTGACTTCAGCTCACTTCCACAAAGAAATATTGTGCAGTGCTTGGCCAGGCGTGGGGGTGAGGGAGGGGCAAAGAGTTCTGATTATAGTTCATCCATAGTACGGACTACCCTGCTTCCGTAGACTAACAATGCAGGGAAGCGAGAGAAAGGAGGGAGGCAACAAAAGGGAGGGAGAAAGGGAAAAGCAATTCCTGGCAAACGTCATAAAAGAACACACTAAAATGTTAGTCGAGACTAACTCTGCAAGGTTGGATTACTGGTGGTTTAATTTTCTGTTTTACACCTCTCTGTATCTCCTAGACGTTTTATGAGTTGAATGTATTATTTTCATAATCAAAATAGTAGTAGATGTTATTTCAAAATAGAAGCATGAAGCATAATGCTGGTCTTCCAGGGGCTCAAAAGCTGCTACGGGAGATGCACATGAAAGCAAGTGGGCAGGATAAACGGCAGGCTGTGTTCTAGGCTTCCTATGGCTGGCTCTGCAGGATGCATGGACTCCCAAGTCTGCAAACCCCTTGCCTTTTCACTGATAACAGCTTGAGCCCCAGTCCTGGCTGCCTGGGGTATTCCTATAGTCTCACAGCTCTCCACTACCTCGCGAGTTTTTGAGGTTTCTCTGGGTCTCCTCAGCTTGCATCCTGCTGAGTTGATATGTTTTGCCTGTAGCCCAGGTCACTAGTATTTCCCTTTTTTCCATCCCATCTCTGGTTCCCCACAGCTCTGAGATGAGTTGTCTCTTTGAAGAAGCAGTCAAAATAGAGACGATTAAGTTTCAACACTTTGTGTCCATCTATGGGGTATGCAAGCAGCCCCTGGGCATTGTGATAGAGTTCATGGCCCTGGAGAAGACACTACCTACCCATAGCCTCAGCGGCCACTCAAGTTCCGCATCATCCATGACACCAGCTTGGCCATGAAGTTCCTCTACAGCTTTAAGCCATCCCTGCTCCACCTGGACCCTAAGCCAAGCAATATCCTGCTGGACAGCAACATGCATGTCAAGGTAATGTATGCCAGACCTCCTCCATGAAGCAGGATTAACTACCTGCCAATCACTGAACCCGCTAAGAGTTTGAGCCATTTTCTGTTCAACTAGATAGTAAAACAGAGATGGGTGAGCAGACATCGTGACATGAGACTGTGGGTTCTGGTGCCCTTAACAATGCTGCCTGGGCCACACTTCTGAGACTGATAGAATAATCTCTACCCCTCAAGTTCTTTGTCTGGAGAAGGGATATGTATAAAGGAAATTTTTATTAAGTCACAATGGCCTTTTTCTTCAGTGCTCAAAACCTTCATAATCCTTTTTGCCTTCAAGAGCCTTTGCACATTCTGTTTCCCAACTCTCTTTATCTACAAAGTCTTAATCATATCTCAGCTCTCAGATTGATCATCACCTCCTTGAGAAGAACTTTCTCAATCTATCTCAATATATGCTTATATACTTCTTACATACTCCCATGAAAACTTTGTTACTTCATCTTACTGAACCTAGTTGCAGTATAGAAGCATTCGATGAGACTTGTTTTTTAAGGTTGAGCAAAGAGGAGTAACAGCTCCCTGAAGCAGGGAAAGGGTCTCAAAAATGAATGAGACTTGTTCTTAATGCATGAACACGCTATCTGAATGCCCACCCATCCCCATCGTGCTGGTATGTGGTTTAAAAAGGTGTCTCCAAACCCCATCTCATTGTCCCTTAATGAATGGTAAATGAGTCTGAAAGGCTGGAGGCAAAGAAGGATAAACAGATGTTGTGAGTGTCCTAGGACCCACAGAAACGAGAAAAACAAGGCACCTGGAAGTAAACAGGGTCTCATGCTACAGATGAGAAAAATGGGGCTTGGAGAAGATGAATGACAGGTTCAAGACCATTGGGAGCGGGTAGTAGAGCTGGGAGGCAGTGAAGTTGAATGCATATGTGGTATACGAAAAGAGTATATACTGATGAGGGCAGCTGGAAGGAGGAGCTGCAGATGGCCTCTGGAAGGTGCCTGTTGCTACCCTTTCCTTGGCATCTGGTTTTCTTTCAGATTTCAGATTTTGGCCTGACCAAGTGGATGGAGCAGTCAACCCACATGCAGTACATCAAGAGATCAGCTCTGAGGGGCACACTCAGTGGCATTCCTCTTGAAACGTTCCTGGAGAATAGCAAGGCTCCAGGGCCTGAATATGATATACACAGATGAGTGGGCAGCTAGGCTCTAAGTCATATGATGGATTTGTTACCCCAGCCAGGTTCCTATGGCCAACAGGTAGGGCAGGACAAGAATCAGGAACAATTCCTCCAGGTGCTGATGGAGGGAAAGAGTTGAGAAGGACCTGGAGAGGCTTTACCTGAAATTGTAGAGACTGCGGGGCCCCTCTGTCTAGGGATCATGAATACTCCTCTGTCTCTCAGCTAATATATTCCTCATTACAGCTTTGGGATTGTCATTCTGGGAGATTCTCATGCAAAATAAACCATATACACATAACAGATGCTCGTGGCTCTATGCCTGTGGGAGGTTGAGGTTGGAGAACACAAGAGGAATAATGGATTGTGTGAACCATGGTGTGAGCTCCTCACGATTTCTATTTTTTACTCTGCTTCCTCTATCCCACAAACACTAGAACCTATGGCATAGTAAGCAAACATGAGCCTTGACCTTGTTCACAGATCCTAACAACCCAAGCCCCCTGCACTTTAAAATGTGGAAAGCTGAAGCCTTTCCCCAGGCCTGCTTGTCGATTCTGCTGCCTTTGCACAGAAAAAGGAGGTGGGGATCATACTGAGTCTTGGCTAGAGCTGGATCAGCAACCCAGCTGCTCAACCGGAGCTTCAAGGAGGTCTGAGACTCTGTTGTCTACTCCCTGAGCATGTATAGGGCACCTACTGCATTCCCATTCTGTCAGGATCCTTCCAGCTTCTACCCACTTGCCCGCTTCTACCCACTGCCAGCTTTGGAAACCTGCCCAGCCTGGATCTTCCCTTGTAGGGCTCAATGTGATGAACATCATTATCTGGGTAGCTGCAGGCATGAGGGCCTCGCACCCCTTGCAGCCTGTCTCTGCAGAATGGCCAGAGGAGGCCTATCAGATGTTGGACCTGATGAAACACTGCGAGGACCAAGACCCCAAGAAGAGACCACGCTTTCTAAGTAAGTACCCATGATTCCATGCCGAGGAGCTAAAGAGGGAGGCACGGGAAACACCATTGGCACTAAAGCTGAGATAGATGTTTCAGACATTTTCAGGGTGGGGCTGGGAGGCAGACTCTCTGGGCTGTACAGATGGGGGTGGATTCTGTTAAAGAGTGTTCACCATGTGCCTAAGCGAGATAGAGTCAGCAAAGGGAAGCCATAACATCTGAGCCTGGTCCTGCCACTGAGCTCTGGAGCTATCTCTGGGGACTTTGAGTATGGTGGGGTCTATAAGGTCATAGGCTGAGGGATGAGGTTATCTGGTCCTTTAGGGACAACACAGAGAGGGGTGAGCTTCTTAGAGATCACCTGATCCTTGCCTTCTCCTTCTGAAAAAAAAAAGTTACCTTAGAGGGTCACTGATTTGCCAAGTGTACCCCAGCCATGACAAGGGTAGGGCTCAGCTTCCTGCCGCATTGTGGGCATATAGGAACATACATGAACTTAGGAATATGTTTAAGAGAATTCATGAACCATATGAATATCTAAAATCCAGTGAACTCCACTGAACTTGCCTGTTACCTTCCCCTGCCCAATCATTTTGGAGCAGATGTGACCATGGAGACAGATATGTTGCTGTCCCTACTCCAGAGTTCTATGGCAGACCCTGAGTGTGAAGCCCTAGTCCGGAAGGTGTCTTGCAAGCCATCACTAAGCCAGCCCCACAAGGTGGATATGGCAGGCTGTGCAGGCCACTGTAGGGGTGCTGGAAGCCACTGTGTGTCATCCATAGTTTCTGACTGGCCTGTGGGGATTAGGCAAAGGCTGTCATTCACAAGGCCACTGGACTGCTGTAGGGAACACGGGAAATGTAAAAGAAGCTAGCTCACACTTAACTCTCCAACCCTGGGAGGCTAGCTAAGAGCTGTCTGCATCCCTAGCAGAGGGCATATCCCCTTATTCACCCGCTGTTCTCTAAAGGCCATGGGTGCTGTGGCTCAGAGCCCCTGGAAAGGACCTTATCCTAAGCTGTCACATTGTGGACAGCTCCATCCTTCAAGTCTCCTGTCCCTACTCTGACATGGGAAGTATCAGGGGCTATCAGGGGATTCCAGAGATACACCCTGAAGCCTCTAAATGAAGGACAAGCCCTAGATCTTCTCTGCTTAGTGATTTATTCTATACATGTGCTGGAGGGGCAATGGTATAGGTGGGTTTCCCAGGAATGCTAGGATATGAATCCTGATGGGTAACCAAAAGCACTGGAGAGAGGAAAGGCAGGGAGGACCAGATCTGACCCCTGATGTCCCACCCTGTACCTGCCTTCCCAGGTCAGAAGGGAAGTCTTGCACACAGTGGTGAGTCTGTCATGCTGAGATGGGACCAATGACTCCACATGGAGGAAAGGGTGGGGTCTGTCCATTCTCTCTGCTCATCCTCCTTGCCCCTTTCTCTTTCTCAAGCCTACCACACATCAGGGATGGTTCAAAAATACCCCGGCCCGTGGAGTTTTGGATCAGTTTCTCCTTTATGTTTGTGTCATTAAGATTAGTTTCCCCTGTTTCTGTCATGAGCAATAGAACACTGACTCTTAATATTGGCTTTGTGTTAGACTTATTTGAATAAAATGAGAAAAAGATGTGTCCAATGCCTACCCCATATAATTCAGAATCTTTAGGGGCCAGGCCTTGGCAGTGGTCATTTTGTCCTGATACATAGATGTGGCAGGAGGAGGTGAGAGCTGAGGTCTTGTATCACACAAGCCCAAGTTCTAGTGCAGTTTTGATTTTCACAGCCTGCCTTCTTCTTGGGTCCTTCTGAACATTCTTAATTGCCTAATCTGTCTTCCTGCTGGTAGCATGAACAAGAGTGGTTCATCTCCCCTTTAAATAGCTAGATGGTGGAGGTTTAAAGAGATGGAGAACTAGCAGGAGCCAGGGGATGTTCAGAGGTGGAGTATGGCTTTTCATCCAGGCCTCCTGACTCCAGATCCATCCTGACTCCTCTGTAAAATGCACGGGCTCCAAGCTCTAATGGAATCAGTGACCCATGAAAGCCAATGCCCTCAAGTCTAGGCTGTTTCTGCAAACTGTCTCCAGGAGGCAGGGGGATACATAAGGTGACCTCTGACCAGGTTATGGATCTAATTTTTTTCAACCCATCACTTTATCTGCTGAGGTGACTCCTTGAAGTGGATCCTACAACTCTCTGATGGCAAGAGCTTGGCCCCAAGTGATGAAGAACTACATGTCTATGAGCACAAGATGCCTCCCCTCTACTTCCTAGTGGCCCAGGGCAGTTTGGAGCAAGTGAAGCTGCTGCTGACCCATAAAGTTGATGTGGACTGCCAGACGGCGTCTGTCTACATACCACCCCTCCTTGCCACCCACGGTCAGCAGCCTGACCTCTGTGCCCTGAACCTGGTACACGGTGCTAGTACCAACTTGGTAGATGAGGATGGCTAGGTCCCACCGCATTTTGAAGCCCAGAATAGGGATGACCATATTGCCCATCTGCTCCTGAACCATGGGGTCCTGGTGGAGGCTCAGGAACATGAGAGCTGGACTCCACTCAGCCTAGCTGCACAGAATAACTTTGAGAATGTTGCATAGCTTCTGGTCTCCTGACAGGCAGGTTTCAACCCACAGGAGGCTGAGGGTAAGATGCCCCTCCATGTGACTGCCTGCTTTGGCAATATTGGTCTGGTCAAGCTGCTGATAAGACTTGGGGCTGAACTGGATGCTCAGCAGAGAAACCTGAGGACACCCCTACACCTGGTAGTGGCGAGGGGGAAAGTAAGAACCATCAAACACCTGCTAAAAGGTGGGGAATTCCCTGATGCCCTTGACCAAGGTGGTTACAGCGCATTGCACATGGCTGTAGCCAAGGGTAAGCAACTTGTCTTCAAGATGCTTCTCAGATATGGGGCCAGCCTGGAGCTACCCATACAACAGGAAGGGACACCCGTAAGCCTAGAAACTTACAAGGGTCACATGGAGATCATCCATCTGCTGGTCAAGAGTCATGCAGACCTAGATGCTCTTGGAAGAATGCACGGGACTCCCCTGCACATGACTGACTTCCATGGGGAGGAGGTGGTGGTGGTGTCACTGCTTCAGGGTGGGGCCAACCCCAATGCTGCTGATTAGTCTGGCTGGATTCCTCTCAACCTGGCAGGGCAGAAGGGGGCCTTCCTGGGCATCATCCACCTTCTGGAACATGGTGCTGATGTCCATGCTTGCAACAAGGTGGACTGGACCTGCCCACCTGGCTGCTCTCAAGGGCAACATAACCATCCTTCAAGTTCTGGTCAAGGCTGGTACCCAACTGGACATCAAGAATGGAGTTGGTTGCACACCTCTGCAGATAACCCTCTGCAGCCAAAAACAGGGCATAGTGACCTTCCTGGAGGCCAAGGAGCCTTCACTAGCCGTTCTGGGAGTTTCTGAGCCTGGATCTTAGACAGAAGTTTAGCTGTAACAGGGCCTCTGTGCATGGAAGGAGAAAGGTTATGGAAAATGAAAGTGACTTTGGAGAGGCCACTTCCCACCTGCCCATTTGACCTTGAGAGGAACCAGTCTCCTAGGTGACAAAAAGGGGAGAGAGTCCAGTGAGGTTGTTCCGGTGAGCTGGGGAAGCTACAGACTGCCTGGAAAACTGATTTTAGCTACTCTACAAGTCTTTTCCGGTCCAACCTCATTCTTCCTTCTTTTCAGATGAGCTCTTGTGTCCATGATAAACTTCCTCTCCAGCCTCAAGACTCTGCCACATTTTGTTGCTTGCCTCTGAGTAATGGAATCCTTGCATCCCAAGAAACCACCCCAAAATAAAGACCTTGAGATAGGGATGGAGGGCTCCTCTCAGCTCCAATTTTGCATTCTAAGTTCTTCACCTTTAGACTGGGGCAGGAGAATCAGATGCCTGCTTTATGTAGGGAACATGCACTTGGAGCTCAGAGGACTTGTCTACTTACTGGCAGGTTCCTGCCACTGTGGTGACCATAGCTTCTGGTGGCACTGGTCTCAGTTTCTGGTATTCTATATCTTGGAAGTGATAGAAAAATGTGCCCAAACTGCACATACATGCTCATCTATGGGATGCCAATTTCCTGTCTCCAACTCCATGCTTCTCTGTGCCCATTTATATGGTCAGGTTTCAAACCTCAGAGTGAATAAAGCTGATGACCTCATTCTCCCAATTAGACATGAACCAGCTGGGTACCCATGGGATCCGGTTGAGTCGATGTGGCGTGTGTGTGTGTGTGTATCTGTCTGTCTGTCTGTGTGTAGTGTAGTGTTGGATGTGTTGGATGTGTGCATAACATATGTGTGTGAGCTTACAAGAAAGGAGAGAGGGGGAAATTGAGGGGAATTGGGTAACTAGTGTACACACATAGGTGATTTGTCTGGTGTGGACATTGTTCATATATGATACTTGTGTGTATTTATGTGAAAAGGGGTAGAGCAGCGAAGAGAAACTGTGGATGTATGCATAATGCATGTATATATAGAGAAAGCATCTGTGAATCTATATAAGGGATTAGACAGGGAATCCAATAGGAGATGGAGGGATAAATGTGTAATACTTGCGTGTGTTTATAATGTGTGTGTAAATACATGCAAGGGAAGAAGCAGGGCAGCTGAGAGGAAGTTGGTGGTGCAAGGGGGTTATATGGACTTGGAGTGGAGCTACAGTATCTTTCTTCCTTATCAGCTGCTCAGAGAACTACTTCCTATGAACAAATATAGGCTACCCATCCATTGGTCTACCCACCAGTTGTGGGCAGGCTGGGGAAGAACCAAGGCTACTAGTATCCACTGTGTGTTGGTAGGTCTGGTTCAGTGGTCAGTGAGTCAGTGGCTGATAGAAGGGTATGAGGAGGGAAGGTTCGCCCTTCTGCCTCATCTCCCCACCCCATCAGCACACTGGCACCATCATGGGATGAAAGATAGGGCAAAGGAGACTTGCTACCCTATGTGGCATTCTGCCTAGGGCTTGAGTTCATTTTGGCAGCCTCACTTCCTGTCCTGGGGTCTCTAGACCAGTTCCAGCTGGGCTCTGGACAGTTTGGGGACAACCAATGGTAAGCCTGGGGGGTCAGCGCTTGGCTGGGTTGTGTCCTCAAGAAATAACTATCAGACTAGACTACACATCAAAATATCCTGATGAGGGATTCTTCAAATATATATGCAACCAGTTAAACCACAGTCAGATCCTGGTGTGACTGAGCAACGTGACTCTGATGTGGAGCAGCCAGGGCTTAGGGTGACCACCAGGGGGCATACCCAAGGCTTTCTCTGTCTGAGCCTTTCTCAACAGACCCATTCCTATGGCACAGGGGAGGTAGGAAGTCTTCCCCAGAAAAGTAGTAGAAACTCCTGGGCTCTGAGACTATTCAACAAATTGTTTATCCCTATTCTATGCCTGCTGCAATTAAAAAAAAATACCCCTAGTTCTGTCTCCTAAAACAATCAGCAGGAGGAAGGGGAGGGGCAGGTCTGTATGTCCCTCTTGAACCCTAGAATACTGATATGACTCCAAGTCTAGGATTCTAGAAGAGCCATAAGAGATGCAAGGACTGCATATTTATATCTGGGTGGGTCAGGGCAACACTTGTGAATGGTAATGATGGAGCCATAGGACAAGATGGTGCCAGGGTTATCACAGAAGGAAGGGTGTGAGGATAACCTAGAAGAAAGGTGTTGGGGAAAATGCTTTGGCATTCATTATCCAGTACATGGCAAAGATGTCCTAGAAGTGTGGTCAGGACTGTGCCTGTAAATCCCTTTGTCTCTGATAATCCTGACTTTGCATGGAGGTTCTTAGATCCCTGCTTCTTTAAATCAATTCCTCTCAAAGCTAATAGAGATGATAGATTGGGCTCAGTTTGCTGTCTGCTGTATTCATAAGTTGCCCCAGACAGACACATACACCTTGAGCTTCATTTGGACACACCTGCCTTTTTAGTTGTGTAGGGATATTTTTGGTTAGGTTTTAAGGGGGCAGTCCTTGAAATTGATGGAAGTGGATCTCTAGTAGATTTCCACTGTGTGCAAAGTGCCTAAGGATGGCAGTCCTAAAAATAGGAACTCTGATTTCTTACTGGACACCTCCACATGGGGGTCCTAGAGAACCCTTAAACTCAAATCAACCTGAAGTGAATATTCCCTTTCCATCCACAAACCTGCTCCTCACTCTTTATCCATATGTTAGTTGAAGATCCCCAAACTCTGAATGTAGGGCTGGTATTTCTAATAGGACTGTAAGGGAGGGAAGAAATCAGTGGGATCTACGTTACTTAGTAGGGTACCACTAACTACTTGTAGGACTAAGTCCTTGAAATATGGTGAGTGTAGCTGAAAGAGCAGGCATTAATTATCATTAAACTTAAGTAGCAATATATCCATAGACTGGATAGAACCAGTCTATGAACTCTCCTTTTTTACCCCTTTCCAGCCAGTTTCCAACCTAGACATTGGATTGGTCAGAAAGAGCCTCCTGAAAGATGTAAATGTTGGAGTTGACATGAATGGAGCTGAGAAGGGCTAGAGGTTAGGCCAGGTAGAGGCAGAGGTAGCCCATAAGCTCCAGAATGTGGGAGGGACAGATTTATTTCTAGAGGCAAATAATGTGGTGTATTCCCTGCGGGTGAGACTCTGATGTCTACCTTGAGTCTCACTGCAAGAGGATGTGGAAAACTCACATCTCTCTCCAAGTAAGAGGTAGGTAGATAGAGCCTGAATGTTCAGTGCAACCCAAAGACCCCTGGGAGCTGTGTGCAATGGGGGAAGCTGGGTGCTGTGATAGAAAACTGGGATTCTAGGCTATGACAGAGGACTTAGAGCTGGCCAGACAAACTTGGGATAGAGTCTTCATTTTACACTTTATTAGTGGTAGACTTTTCCTTGACATCACCACCAAAGAGGGAGGCCTGTGGATGCTCCAGCTCCAGTGTGTAGAATTTTCGATGTGCGGATGCTGTTGGATCACACACAGCCCCAGCATGCACCAGCACTTACCTTCACTCTGTTCCTCTTCTGTCTTCCAACTCTTGTCCTCTCTCATCATCCCACTTACCTGCTCTTTCCTTACCAGGTACAGAGGTGAATTCCTTTCCTATTCTAAACCTCTGCTTGGGTGACTTCTTGTCCTTTGAGGAGTCAGTGAATAAAACCCTCCCAGATAGGAGACAGGGAAATCAGAGGAGCCATGCATTTTTGCAAACCACAGCCAAGGGAGTTAAGCTGCAGACTGGAAGTTCCAATTGGCTTGTGAGACCTCAGATGGGACTCAGGCTTGCAGTGATCTGCAGAAAACTATAGGGGGCTAGAGAAGCCTGTGGATGCATCCTACAAACATTGAGAAAGTATGTGGGTGGCAGAGAGTGCAGATGCAAAGAAAGGAAGCCAGTCTCCAGACTTGTGGGAGAAGGGAGGGCATCATCGGGGCAGAGAAGCCCCCTGGACTTCTGGATGGCTGCTCTGGTCATCTGCTCAGGAGCATCTTTTTATAGAGCTGTCCAACCCCAGGATAATACCATAACCCTTTGTGCCAATGCTGGCTTCCCTTCCCCAGTCTGTGCCTGATGGGGTCCTACATAGCACCCCTTGCACACGTGCCCAGACCCAAACCACTTATTTCTACCTGTGAAGCTTTCCCTGCCTGCCCTGTTGGAGATGGCTATTCCTGCTGAAGGAATAGAACTGACAACCCTTGCTGTTTGCTCTATTGCTTCTCAGGTACACAGCCTAACTCTTCCTACATCCTATTCTTCCTGTCCTTAATGCTCAGGACAGAGAAAATGTATTATCCATGGTGCCTAGTTAAATTCTAGGCAATGGGAACTGGAAGATTTTGGGCAATGTCGTGTAAAGGACAAAGGGCGGGCGGGCGGGCGCCAGAACAGCATGTGGCAGTGGAGGGAAGCTGGAAAAGGACCGTGGGAAAGGTTGGCAAGGTGGGCCCATGACGGAGACCCAAATACAAGGCTCTCCTGGGTCATGGCCTTGCACAACCCCAAGCTGCTGGAAGTTCCTTTGCTTCAGTCACAGCACTTAGCAGCACTTGTGTTCTTGGGAGGTTGTCACGATTAAATGTGAGGCCAGGCTTATGATATGGCAAGGCAGTTAATAGGTACTCAACATTTCAGTTTCTCCTAAACAAGAGAATTTTTTTCTCTTGGAATAGGGCATAGATAATCAGGCTTTGGGGGCCTTGTGGAGAACGATACCCTAGGACACAACCGCCTGGTGTCCAATCTGGGAAGGAAGGGTGATTCTCTCTGGGCCTTTGGATGGGCTGTGATCTTGGAACACACCCACTGTAGTGCAAGGCAAGGGCAAGTCCCTGGCTCACTAGTTGTGACCTCAGAGACACGGTGGTTAAGACGATCTGTAGACTACAGTACAAAAGGCCCCAGCAGTCAGACAGCTTAGTGTAGATCAAGCCATAGAACCATGTCT